GGGGGGGGGGGGGGGGGGGCGGAGATGGCAGTTAGTACAAGCGATCTCCTCCTGCCCTCCCCCCTTTAGAATTCCCAAGTACCTCACCATCCTCCCCAGTGGCAAGTATGGACTGGGGAAAGAAAGAAAGTCACCAAAAGGCACCAGATGGCTGCCTTGGCCTTGAGTTTGGAGAGTGGAGGTACAGAGATAGACCCTCCCTGCCTAGTTTGGCTTCTCATGTCTGGATGAAACCTTTTCTCCCATCTTTATTCCCTTCATGCCCTTGCTCCCCATACACCCATTGACGGGCCCCGGGGTCCTGGCTTCCAAGTGGCAGGCCGTGGGGCTTCCCCTCACCGGTGATACAGGTGCAGTTCTGGCTCCCCTAACCACTGCACCACCCCACCACCTCCTCTGAAGCCCCCTTTCCCTTCCTTCACCTCCCTTTCTTTACCCAATGCCGTCTCCTGGTCTGACCACTCTCTGACACTGCTTCCCCGCAGGCAGATGACAGCAGCCTGACTGAACAGAGCGTGGCCCAGGTAGGCCCCCGTTGTCTGCCTTGGGCAGGAATGGGACAGAGGGAGCCTCCCAGGGGGACCCAGTGGGACTATCGAGGCTGAGATGTTAGGGGTGCAGGAGGGAAGAGATGAGGCAGTGACAGGCCATCTCTCAGAGAGAGTCACTGGAGGTTTCCAGAGTCTCCAAGATGGTACAGAGCTGGCCATTAATAAATGATGCATGCCTTACTAGCAACCCACCTCATCTGGCTTGGTGTAGTTGGCTGAAAAACCAGGGTCGTAAGCAACCACGCTGGAGATGGCTGGGTCACTTGTCCCCCGAAGCATTCTGGGGACTTATGGGCCCCCAAACCCAGAAGGGATAGCAAATAGGAGTTTTCGTACCACCTCACCCCTTGCTGTTCAGGGTTTCTGCTGGGGCTGTTAAGGGACCCTCAAATCTGTGACAGGATCTAACCACCTCCACTTGCCACCTTGCCCCTGAATGACCTGGCTGTGGAACAGCCCGTCCCGGCCCAGTCTCCCGCATGGTACTATCTGGGATGCATGTGCGGCCGGGCGCCGGTTCCTGGATCCGTGGCCTGACTGGTTCCACAGCTGTGCAAACTTCCTGCTTGTCGGGCCGACTGCTTGACTGACCTCCGTTCTGTCTGCCCACAGGTCTCTCTGCCCAGACTAATCCTGCTTTTATGGAACTTCCTGCCCTCGTGCACTAACTACCTCCTGCTGTGATAGCTAAGGCAGAGATGGACCCAAGCCATCCCGTGTGGAGCCCCAGGTGTGCTGCCCCCTTCCTTTACTGACTTTGCTGCTCCAGCAAACTGCCATGGCGGCTCCCTCCTCCCAGGTCCCGGTGCCTCCTCACACCTTACCGGGAAGAGGGAGCCACATGGCAGTTTCTCAGGCCAGAAAGAGGTTGGAGAGCAATGAGCAGAGCAGTTGAGAACACAGGCGCTGGTGGGAGTCATCCCAGGATGTACGTTCCGCCCTACCCCCTGCAAGCTGGGTGACCCACAGCAAGTTACCCAACCTCTCCGGGCCCCCACACAATCACAGGACGCTCCTCTTAGAGTTGCTATGAGAATCAGAAAAGCAAATGCATGGAAAGCTCTTTAGCCCGGCTCCTCTATTTTTTTCTGAAAGGGGAAAGAATGAAGACCTGGCAAGTTAATGGAATTCTTGAGTAAAAAAAACCAAGGGAGCTGTAGGTAGTGAATGCGAAGATGAGGGGAAGGTTAAGTTTCTGGCTGGGACTACAGGAGAACCCCAGGGCCGGGCTGTCTCCGAGAGAGGAGGGGGACTGTGCAGGAAGAAGGGACTTCAGTGGAGGGGAATGAGGCTTGACGGCTGGAGGGATGAACTGAAGGACATACCTGGGGTCCCCACCGTGTTGCCACTGTGTGTGCACAGTTGAATGCATTTGTCAAAGTCCCGGACCGAGGCAGTTTTCCCCAGCAGGATGTGAGAGTGACCGCATCTGAGTGCAGGTGTCCCGGGACAGCACTGGGCCAGCCCGCTTTGCCAGCTGTGCCACATCAGCAGCGGGTTGGGGTGGGGTGTTGAGGATACACTGCCAGCTGAGACCAGAGCTAGGGGTTTGCTGAGGTGTCTGGGCACAGGAAGTGTCTGGCCTGGGCCTAGTCTCTGCCTAGACGTGGCACTGTGGGCGGGCGCTCGCATGGCGTGCCGTGGGTAGACGGGGCCTGCAGCCACACCCAGGGCGGCAGAGGCACGATCGGTGGAGGGCCCGGCAGGCTCCGGCCTGGGCCGGGAGCTGGCTGCAGCCAGTTTGGACTGCTCTGTTGCTGGCCTAGCCCCACTTAAGCCTGGCGGAGATGAGCTGGTGCCACCTAGTGACGAAGGGTCACAGGGACACTTAGGAAAAGTGGGCTCGTAGAGCTGGCCCTCACTGCAGTGTTAAGGCACTTGATAGTCCCCCTCTCAATTCTTTCAACCTTATTCCCTATCCCCCAGGTTCTTCAGTCTGCCAAGGAACAAATTAAATGGTCATTACTGAAATGAAGGCTGTGCATTCAGGGCTCCCTGCCCCCAGGGCATTTCCCCAATCCTGGCAAAAGCTGAAAGACCTCCGGAGAGGAGAGACCCCTCTGTCCCCCTAGGCTCTCCCAGAACTGACTCCTGAGGTCTCCGGCCAGGGACTCTGAGACGCAAAGATTTGGCTTCAGAAGTGACTCACGCCTTCTCACTGCCCTGACCTGCCCCTTGGGCCATGAGAACCAGCTGAGCTGCCTTAACTCAGACCTTAGGCATCCTTGGCCCCAGAACCCTAATAAACCTGCTTTGTCTCCTGTCAATGGTCTCCTTCTCTCCTGGCCTGAGAAGTGTGTATAAGTTCTGATAAGGGCTCCTGCACTCCCTGTGGCTCGTCTTCAGGATGCCCAGTGCCAGGGTGTCCCGGCAGTAACCCTGTGGTCGCGATCGGGAAGGGGGTGGGTCAAGGAAAAGGGGACGATTTATCTTCCTGAGGGGGTGTGACACTAACACCACGGAGCCCCGTGTGTGTGATGAGAAGAGCCCAACATGATTGTGTGGCACGGTAAAAAATAATGGGTTGGGGCACTTGGCTCCAAATAATGGCTCAGTCTGTTGAGCGTCCGATTTCAGCTCAGGTCATGATCTCACAGACTGTGAGTTCAAGCCCGCGTTGGGCTCTGTGCTGACAGCTCAGAGCCTGGAGCTTCGGATTCTGTGACTCCCTTTCTCTCTGCCCCTCCCCTGCTCATGCTCTGTCTCTGTCTCTCTCTCAAAAATTAACATTAAAAAAAAATTTTTTTTAAGTTGATAATGGGTGATATGGCGCACATTTGGGGAAAACAATACAAAAGATGGTACACACATAGTGACCCTGTTGGGGATTCTTTACGTCATTTTCTCCATTCCCAGCTTCCAAAAGGGAAGGGCGTAAGGCTTCCTCTAGACAAACTGAGCAACAACACGCCCGTTTTTCTTGGCTTGACCCGTACCGCGTAATTCCTATTACTAGCATACATCTTCGGCACTAGAGCCCTGCAAGCGTACCATGGCTGGGCCTGGAGGCTGGCGGCGAGGAAGCATCAACCAGCCCCCACCACGCGTGTGTGTCCAGAGCACCCAGTGAGTTCCAGAGGGTGTGAATGAAGCGTTGCAGGTCCGGAGGATGAGGAGGGAAGGGCGGGGGCGGATCCCAGAGGAAAACGGGAAGGTGGAGCGACTTCCTAGGAGACGTAACTTCTCTTCTTTCGCTTCGTCCCAGAACCGCCCGTTTTTCCCTTTCTCTGACGCCTACCCTTTCTGCGTCTCTGTACGTAAGTCCTCTACGGTGCCTAAGGGTCCCTCCCGGGACAGCTCAGGGACCTCGATACCTTTTTAAGAGCAACTGGCGGGTAAACGCCCCGCCGAGACCCCGCCCCTGCCCCGCCCCTCGCCGGCACGCGGCGCCGCAGGGAGCCCCGCCCCAGGACCGCATCCGCGATCCTACAGCGCCACCTGGAGGGAAAGGCAAGAAACGCTCTCCCTCCGGGTCCTGCTCCCCTGACTAACTCCGCCTCCAGGGCGGGACCAACCCCCTTCTCCTAAGTTCCTCCCGGGCCTGCTATCCCTGACAACAGGGCGTTGCCCTAGCAACCAGCACGCTTGACCCGCCCTGCGAGTTCCGTGCCAGCTCGGACACACGAATTTCTGCCAGCCACTACAGTAAGAGAGCAGCGAGGCTTGGATGTTAATAGAAGCTGTCTCTGCGGGTTACCACGTCCTACATTATAAAACACCCTAAGATTGGATATTTATAATGGCCATGACTACTTCTGTAATTAGAGAAAATGATAAAGATATAGTTATATAAACAAATACATTGTAGGCACTGTCGACATAACCCATTCCAGTAAATAATGCAAAAAGGCAACTCTGAAAGGGAAAAAAGAATATGCAGTTAAATGCTGTAGAGTTCAGGGGCCAGTGTGGCGACGGGAAATGAGAACTTCTCCCCGAATACTTTGGCAAATATGCGGCCTCATCCGGTGCCCGGCTCCATCCACTGCCTCTAAACGACCGCAAGGTCGAGAGGGGCAAATTAGCTTCCTAGCAACCCGGTCGCGCCTGCCCAGGCCCTGTAATTCCAGTTATGCAGGGACTGGAATGGGAAGTCCTGACCCTTCACACAAACAGCCTCACCGAATTCCTGTGGACTATGCGATGCTATCCCCATTTTACGGAGGGGCAACACCGAGGCTCTGAAAGTTAAACTGTTTGCAGCAGTTTCCGCAAAGCCCGGCTCGGGAAGGAGAACTGGAGAGAGGTGGCTTTCCCGCGCCCCCTGACCTAGGGCCACACAGGGACTGTACTGGGTTAAGAGGAATGAGCGGAGGGGGCATAGTAACGCAGAGAGACGACAGGAAAGGTGTCCTCGCCCGCTGTGACTAAAGGACTACGGGGAAGGGAGGTGCAGCAAAGCAGCCGACCCACGCCCGCGGCGGGGAAAGGACGGCGCTGAGAAGGCAGCGGAAGCCGGGCAGTGTGGGCAGGGAGGGCGAGCTACTCCTTCCCCGGGATCTCAAGTCTGCTGGCCCGTCTGGGGGCCGAGACGGAGAGTCTGCTGCGTCCCCGGGCCCCTTGGCGCCCGCAGCCCCGGGAGCCGCCAGAACGGCGGGCCTGGCGGTCTGCCTAGAGCTCTGCCCGCCCGCACGCACCCGCTTTCCCGCAGATCGCCTCAGCGCTGCCCCGGGCCGGAGCCGGCCGCCGCAGAGGGGAGCGCGCAGCACCCGGCAGGCGGGGGCGCCGTCTGCCGGGGACCGGGTTTCGGGAAGGGCGGCGGGCGGTTCCCGGCGGGAGCGGCCGCGGAAGCCTGGTCTTCCAGTCTGTTCTCATCCCCAGGGGCCCTCCCCGTCTTTCTGCTTCCCCCTCCCCCTCGCCCTCTTGGGCGACCCAGCGGGTCTCTCGAGTGTATAAGGGGAAGGGGACTTCAGGGCACTCCCTTTCTCCTGCAGAATGGGCACCGGGGCAAGTCAGAAACCGAGACTGTCTGGCTTGGGTCCAGACAAGAGGGAGCACACAGAAGCACTGGCCCCAGGACTCTGCTCGCAGGAGGAACACTCGCCGCACCTAAACCGGGCTAGGGACATGGTACCGCCAGGCCTTCGGGGTCCCTTTACGCCACCCAGAGCTGGTGGCTCCAGTTCCCTCTACGCGCGCCCCCAGCTTTCTGGCCATTGGCTGGCAGGAAGGCAGAGCTGGTCGGATTGGCTTGCGTCAAGACAGTGATGGATGGCTCCCCGTTGGCTGGACCGTCGCGGAACAGAGGATGTCTTTGCTGGGAGGCCCAGATCCGCTAAGGAGGAGCCAACCAGGCGGGGGATGAACTAGAGACCCGCCTAAGCTCAGACTTTCTGCCCTCAATCTACCTTAGAAACCAGAGAGATAGAGAGAGAGAGAGAGAGAGAGAGATCTTACCTCTGAATTTCCAGTAAATACCCCTTTAACTCCAGAACCTGATGTAGGCAAAGTTGAAATTTTTTACCCAAAACAGGGTTGGCACAAACCTACAGGCCTCCCTTTCCCTCTAGATAGGGTCTCCTTCATTTAACAATATTCGTGCATTATATTCATTCATTCATTCATTCAAGTGTTTGAGTGTTTGCCATGAGCCAGGTACTAGGCAAAGAAGAGAGGGAGACTGATTTGCAAGTGATAGACTCCAGACTTGGCAGTGGGGTAGGGGTGGAGGGGTAAAAGTAGAAAATGGTTTTGACATCTATAAATACTAAATACTAAAACTGGAAAATATCGCAGATGAGGATCCAAAGAAACGAGAGCCGTTGTGAGGTACATGTGGACTTTATCCTCTGTAGGTAGATGAGTGGCGTTCCCCAAGGTAGACCCTTTGGTAAGAAAAGCAGTACTGATGCAAAATAATAATAATAATAATAATAATAAATTCACTTTCGTTTGGAGAGAATTCTTTTCAACAGGCATTTGCTAACTGTCTGTTCTGAGCAGGTCACCTTGCTGGAGGGTGGTGGGAGCTTCTAAGAAGAATTGCAAGACACAGCTCCTGATCTGACTGGGAACAAAGTTACGTATTTGTAATTTGCAGAAATTGTAAATATTGACAGAGGAGATGGTGTGTTACACCATGCTTTGTTCTGTCGAAAGAAGTCAGGGAAAGAGACACTACAAAGGGAACAATATTATCTGCAAAGCAGAAGGCAGAGAATCTTTGGCTAAAGACTTGCGGGTAGGGGCGCCTGGGTGGCGCAGTCGGTTAAGCGTCCAACTTCAGCCAGGTCACGATCTCGCGGTCCGTGAGTTCGAGCCCCGCGTCGGGCTCTGGGCTGATAGCTCAGAGCCTGGAGCCTGTTTCCGATTCTGTGTCTCCCTCTCTCTCTGCCCCTCCCCCGTTCATGCTATGTCTCTCTCTGTCCCAAAAATAAATAAACGTTGAAAAAAAAAATTAAAAAAAAAAAAAAAAAAAAAAGACTTGCGGGTAAAGGTAGCTGGAATGGGTATATGCACCTCTGTGAGGAGGACTGGGATGTGTTGAGACAGGAGACTTCTGCCTAGACAGGTGGCTCCTGGATGGAGGTGAGGGTTGAATGCCATGTGCTGAAGAGTAATGACCACATGCTGAGTTTACCACTATTCTGTCCACCCCAGAAACAGTATGGTTCTCAAAACACCCAAACAAGGCAGATACCGTTAGCCTTCTTTTCACATCTGAGGGACCTGAGTGTTTGGATAATTTGCCTCATGGCACAGAGGTGAGATTTAAGCCCATACTGGTCTGACTCCGTTGCCCGTTGCTTTTTGCCCACAGAGCCAAGGAGCCTGGCTTATACTCCGAAGGCTATAGGGAGCCACTGAAGATTTTTTCAAGCAGTTAAGTGATAGCAACTCTGTGTTCTGAGCAAGACTCTTTGAGCAATGTGAAATGTGGATTGAAGAGGCAAGAATTTAGGGTCAGTGTATGACTCACAGAAGGCAATCGTTTTCACTACACCCACTTCTTATTCTTTACTTAAAACAGCGCCACCCACTGAGGCTGAGGGTCTCACCAAACAGCTTGCAGAAATCAGAGTTCCATTCAGAGTTTGATTCGGAATTTGAGTTGGTGCTTTTGAATTAATTCACATAATTCCAGGTTATCATTCCAAAACAGAGCTTCCAAAGGGACCACTTCGTTAGGGACAATGATTTGGATATTTAGGTCCTAAAATGTGTGTTAAGCAGTAATAAATTCACAGTGTAGCTTATATGTTTGGTACTCTCTTATCATCCTCACCTACTCCCAGTCTGAAAACACACACACACACACACACACACA